TACCCACACCATCTAATCTAATTCCCATACTATCAACCATATACATGAAGGACAGAACTACTTGACATGGAGTATTCAGTTTCAAGTTTTTCTCCTCAATCATGATTGGATTAGCATAATCGATGGCTCAGAGATAAGTCGATCCAAAACTTCAGCCGATGGATCTCCAAATAAGCGTATGCAGTGTGGTTCAAGAAAGACAACTGTGTTTGAAGCTGGTTGCTAGCCTCAATTTATGAGAAACTAGTATCTAATATTTGTAGTTTGATGACTTCCAAATAGGTTTGAGGACTCTCTTCAAACATGCTTCTGCTCCACGCCACGATCTCGTATTGCACTCTTCAGAAGGCAATAAATCCTGTGCAAATTTTTTTGAGGTGGCAAAGCACTTTGCTGATCAATACTTCATCTACTTTTTGATTGGTGGCCTATGAGCCTTGTTTACTCCCTTCATTAGGTCTTATAATTTTGCTTGCAGGGACGAAGATCTTACAATTGATGACTTCCATTCAGAACTTCTAAGCGTTGAAACTCTTGTTGAAAGTCCAATTCATGTCCAGCCAAGCAATTTTGCATTTGCAAGAATTGCAGGACCTCAATATCAGAAGAAATCTAAACCTCAAGGAAGTTATCAGAAATACTAGCAGTGGGCTTCTTCCAGCCACCCTCGTGCACATTCACATACTGCATATCATCAACCTCAACTGAATAGTGAAATACCAGTCTGTCAAATTTGTGATAAGTGAGGTCATACTGCTTTGGACTACTATCAACGCTATAACTTTTCTTTCCAATGCCTAATACCATCATCATTTGAGTTGGCAGCAATGGCTGTTGAAGCCAACATCCCATAAGAACATCAAACCTGGTATGCTGATAGTGGTGCCAATGCTCGCATTACTGCAAATCTGACACACTCCTAGCCCTATGATGGTCCTGACACTGTCCAAGTTGGCAATGACTCGGGTTTGGTCATTCACAACATTGGTTCATCCTTCCTAAACACAACACATTCTTCCTTTAATCTTAACAAAATTTTACATTGTCCTAATGCTTCTACCAACCTTTTACCAATTAATAGATTTTACATTGATAATGATTGTTATTTTTTGCTTACTGGCAGTGATTTTTGTGTAAAGGAGAACAAGAGCGGACGACTGAGACTGGTTGAGGATGGTCTCTGTCCAATGGCTGGAAACAAGAGCTCTATCAATAAATTCCATTGTTTCATAACCAAATTAGGGACAAAGATGACGAAAGAGCAATGGCATAATCGTCTAGGACATCCTTCCAAGTCCAACTTAGATTATTTACTTTATTACTCGCAAATAAAAGACACCAACAAGGAACCAAGTGTCTGTAGTTCTTGTCACATGGGAAAAGCTAAACACTTATCCTTTAGTGACTCCACTAGGCAATCTACAAGACCGTTAGCCTTGATTCACACTGATGTTTGGGTATCTCCTTTAACCTCAATTGGTGGCTGCCATTTTTATGTTTTATTTGTTGATGATTTTCGTTGTGACACATGGATGTTCCATGCGTTTTAAATCTAATGTATTCCTTATTTTCCAAAAATACAAGGTACTTGTTGAAAATTTATTTTCTTGCACTATTCAACAACTACAATCTGGTAATGGAGGCGAATATTTATCAAATGAGTTTCCAGAATTTTTGGCAAAAACATGGGATTTTCCATTGTCTAATGTGTCTTTACACTTCCCCATGGAACGACATTGCTAAAAAGAAAACATCGCCATATACAAGAAATGGGTTTAATACTTCTGGCAAATGCCCATCTACCAAATTGTTACAGGAGAGATGCCTTCTTAACATCAGTATATCTCATAAACCGATTACCTACCAAAGTTCTCAAAAATTTGTCTCCATATTTTGTTCTTTACAAAACTATGCCAACTTATTCAAATCTTAGAGTCCTTGGTTGGTCGTGTTATCCTTTTCTTAGGCCATATGAAAATAATAAATTGGCATTTAGGAGTAAACAATGTATGTTTATAAGATATCCAAGTCAATAAAAAGGCTACCGCTGCTTAGATTTGGACAAAGGTCGAGTTTTTGTATCGAGACATGTGGTAATTGATGAACACTGATTTCCTGCTGCTTTAGACAGATGTCAATCCTCTTCCACTCCCAGAGTGTCCTGTTGTCAAGTATGACTTCACTGTGAATTTTCCTTCCTGCTTCTTCTAATGTACAAAGTTCTACTCATGGTGAAATTCAAGAATGTTTACACACTGAATCGAACTCATCACATGTTGAAAGCCTCCCAATGGTCCAGTCCCTTATGCCTATGTCTATTCCTCATACAACCTTGTCTCCCACACCACCTACCTTCCAAATTGATCCAATTGAAGAGTCTTCTAATTCTGAACATTCACCCCCTTTAGAGACGCTACCTGAGACAACCACTATAAATCATCACACGATCTAAAATAGGAAATTCGAAACCAAAAGATTTCTCTGGTTGTAAGATTTTTTATAGTACTCGCCACCCTTTACTTGTATTATCTAGTGTTGTTTATGAAATCGAACCATCTGGCTTCACGAAGGCAGTGACTAAACCAGAATGGAGAGCTGTAATAGGATGTGAATTTGACGTATTGATGGATAATGGAACATAGTCTCTCTGTCCAAGACCAGTGAATAAACGTGCTGTTTGAAATAAATGGGTGTACAAGATAAAAAGAAATCCATATGGTAGTATGGAACGCTATAAAGTATGGCTTGTAGCAAAAGGATTTGATCGATGCCCAAGTATTGATTATTATGAAACATTTTCTCCAACGGTGAAGCCCATCACTATACAATTAGTATTGGCCTTGGCAGTTTCTTTTAATTGGAATATTAATCAATTAGATGTTTTCAATTCCTTCCTCCATGGGATTTTAGATGAAGACGTGTATATGGAACAGCCAGAGGGTATATGGATGAAATTTTTTCAGATCATCTATGTCGCTTACATAAGTCACTCCACGGTCTTAAACATGCTCTAAAAGCTTGGTTTTGTAGACTTTCTCAGTAGCCTGTTGATTTTGGGTTTACAAAATCAAAGGTTGATTATTCATTATTTACATTCTGCACTAACACCTTCAAAATCTTTGTCTTGGTGTATGTAGATGACACTATTGTAACAGGGTCTGATAGACAAGGAGTTCTTGACTTCATTGAACAGTTTAAATTTTAATTTCAGATTAAAGACTTAGGCAAACTAAGCTATATTCTTGGGGTTCAAGAGATCAGAAATGCAGATGGACTATATTTGAGACAAGTGACTTACATCATTGATCTATTAGAGTCTAGAGAGCACCAAAATGACTGGTGCAAAGCCCTCGCATTTTCCAACTGTATCTGGTTCTAAATTATCTTCCACTGATGGTGCATTACTTGCTGATCCATTTGAATTTCGGAGAGTTGTAGGAGACCTTCAATAATGCACCGTCTCCTGGAGAGATTTGGAGAATGAGAATGCTGATTGCGTAAATGACAAAGTGATTTTTTGCCCCAAAACTGTTGCCTTTTATAGGTAGGAGCTCTTAATTCCAGCCGTTAGATGACGATCCGAGTCATCTAACCGTTAGATGTCGATCCAAGTCATCTAATCGTTCATTTGAGATTTCAATATGAGCCATTCAGTACATCGGACTCTTCGTCTTCTACGATCCAGATAAGTCTATCGGCATTACATGGTGCATCAGTTGTCTTTTCTTGAAAACGTATGAAACAGTAAATCATTTGGGTGCAATAATTGAGGGTGCCTCATCTTCCCAATGTTTTAAAAAACTTGATTCGTTATAATTAATGAGTCACAGCCTTAGCAAGTAGCAGAGACACATCACCATTAACCGCTTCGGGTAAGGCTTCAGAAATACAAGCAACTTTGGAGAGGATAGCTTTGGACAAATTTGTCTTAACTCTCCAATTTATTCCAGAAATTCGGACGTCACCGGGTACACAGCTTCGGACAACATGGATAGGTAATTCATGTAGATCAACTACTTTCAAATTCTAACTATAATATAAATATTTATACTTAGACTTGGGGGACCATTTGTGGTGTGTAAAAACCACCCCTAACCAAGAATTTTTCATAGAAGTCCATGCATTACATAAATAATCATGTATAGACTTGAGCGACTATTGTTATTCCTCGCCACCTAGGCTCAAGTCAAAGTGCCCCGTCGCAGTCCACGTGGAAATAAAAGTCAACAAAGTAATGCAAAGAAGTAAAACAAAGGCTAAAGCTCATGTGCCGAAGCACTGGCCGAAGTTGTAAGCTGAAGCGCTACATGAGAAATCAATGAAGAAGCCGAAGCTCTTCGCATAGAAGACCACCAATACGAACCTCCCTCCGATAGAAGCCCTTAGTTCATCCGAAGTCCTTGAAGCTAAAGTTGCCTTTTACAAGATCTATAGACAATCTTTAAGAATGATTGATGTAATGTTTGTAATAAAGAATGTCAGGTGTGTCAACCAAATGTATAGGGCGGCAGACCCGTTGTCAATGTATTTATTGTATGAGAGACTTAGTGATGTGAGGTTTCAATCTAGGAGATGAGGCCACGTGGTTCCGATCCAATGGACACCACTTTGGCCAAAAACACTATAAATAGGTGGTCTTTGTAAATGGAAAGGGACTTTTGGATCTTTGATAGTCATTTGAATATTGATATACAAGAAAGATACTCTCAAGAAAACTTCTTGCTTGTTCTATATTTGTTAGTTTAATTCTAAGTTATTTACATTTTGTTGGTGATTGTTTGTTAGTGCAATCATTCTAGTCACTACCGTCGGTACTGGGGCACTCTTGTCTCGTGCCGTAAGCTTCACCCAAGTTCACGTGTTCTCTTTCTCTCACCAGTCCTCCTGTCAAAACGCGCCGAAATTTGCTTGAGTTGGTGTGAGTGGGTCCGGCATCTGTTGTTCATGTTTGTATTACGCTTTTCGTGGTCAACAGATCACATAAAATGGAGGTTTTTAAGATGATTTTCTGCAGACCCTTTTTGCCAACTGTTTCCGCCATCATTCTTGTACTCCTTAATCTGTTGTTTCTACAATATATCAATGCAGCTTCCATACCTACAAATGAAACAGATAAACTTGCAATGGTTGCCCTGGAATGCCAAATAACTGATGATTCTCAAAGAATATTGGCATCCTGGAATAGCTCTTTTCATTTCTGCTAGTGGGCTGGAGTAACGTGTGGGCAAAAACATGATAGCATTACGAATTCGGATCTCAAAGGGAAAAAATTGGGAGGAACCATTGGCCTTCAAATTCGAAACTTTTCATTTCTTTACCGTCTTGACCTTTCTAACAACTACTTTCGTGGTGGCATTCCCCCAGAACTTGGCAGCCTTAGAAGACTTCAAATCTTGAGCAGTAGCAATGATTTACTGCAAGGACAAGTTCCAGCTAGATTGTCACGATGTTCAAACCTAGTGAGTATTGTGCTGGGAAAGAGCTCTGTCATAGGAAAGATTCCAACTGAAATAGGATCGCTCCAAAAGCTTTTGAAACTCAATCTCAGAAGCAACAATCTTACACGTACTACACCAGCTTCTATTGGAAATCTTACATCTCTTCAATGGTTTGATGTTTCATTCAACATATTGAGTGGTGGCATTCCGAATACAATATCCCAATTGGTGAACTTGAAATACTTTTTAGTATCAGAAAACAATCTCTTTGGTGAATTCCCCCCTCCCATCTCTGCAATTTCACATCATTCCAGAAGATAACTCTGTCTTATAACAGCTTCATTGGTAATGTCCGAACCACTATAGATCTTGACCTCCTAAAGCTCAAAATATTATACTTACCATTTGATTTCTTCACTGGATAAATCCCGGATTCACTTTCCAATGCCTCAGCTCTTCAAGAGATTGATGTGTCCTCCAGAACAATTTCACTGGAAAATTGCCACTTAGTTTTGGAAGTTTGCATAACTTTCAGGTTTTCAGTGTTGGTTATAATAGCTGGGAAGTGGAGGAAATGACGACTTGGACTTTGTTAATTCCCTGACAAATTTCAGCAATTTACAGTTCCTGCATTTTGGAGGTGTTTTGCCCAACTCAATTGGCAATCTGTCGACCCAATTGACTCAACTTTATTTCGAAAGGAATAGAATTAGGGGCAGCATATGCAAGGAGATCACAAATCTTAAGAATCTATATTTCCTGTCCGCGTATTTTTAATTGGTGTGATTCCTGATTCCATAGGAATGCTTTCCAACTTGGGAATGGCTTATTTTAATGGTAACAAATTGACAAGTGAAATCCGATCCTTCTTTGGTATCATTAGTCAGCTACAACATCTTCTGTTTGACAGCAATTTGACAGGAATCATACCGCATTGCAAGTGCTTGTCCTTCTAGATTTGAAAAACAACAATCTAAGTGGTACCACAGACTCAATTATGGATATCTCATCCCTAGTGGGCTTCAAAGCATCTTGCAATTCCTTCACAGGTTTCCTACCTGCAGGCTTTGGGAATTTGAGTAAACTTAATGATATTAATTTATCGCACAACAAATTCTATGGGGAGATTCCAAGTACCATTGCGAAATGTTTGTCCATAGATACATTGCTGATGCAAGATAATTTGCTACAAGGGCTATTCCTTCTCTAAAATATCTGCAAGCACTTATGTATTTAGATCTCTCCGGAAATAACCTGTCAGGTAAAATTCCAAGGTACTTGGCAAATGTTTCCACTTTAATTCAATTGAATCTTTCATTCAACAATCTAGAGGGAGAGCTGCCTGTGAAAGGAGTGTTTTCAAATCTAAGTGCAATAGATATTACTCGGAATCCAAAGGTCTGTGGAGGGATCCTACAGTTGAATTTGCCAAAATGTAAGGTGCAAGGAGCTCAAAACGCACACTGGAAGCAAGCAATTTCACTGAAGTTAGTAATGGTAATAGTCGCTGTTGCTGCAGTTGCAGTTTTGTCACTGATTTTGCTCTTACTTCATTGGAGAAAATGATTGAAGAAAAGCCCTAATTTATCATCTCATTCCATGCAATTCTACCCTGAGATTTCATATGACGAGTTCCTCAAAGCGACTGGTGGATTCTCCTCAGAAAACTTGAAAGGTTCAGATGCTTTTGCGACTGTTTTTAAAGGCACTCTCGGTTCAGATGAATCAATAGTTGTGGTTAAATTATTAAGCCTCTGACAGAGTGGAGTTACTAAGAGCTTTTAGGCTGAATGCCAGACATTGAGAAACATTAGGCACAAAAGCTTTGTAAAGGTCATAAATGCCTGTTCAAGTTCTGATTTTCAAGGAAATGATTTCAAAGCTCTAGTGTACCAGTTTATGCCAAATGGAAGCTTGGAGAAGTGGCCACACCACATTCAAAAGAAAACAGCCTTTGCTTGAACATTCTTCAGAGAATTAACATTGCAATAGATGTGGCCTGTCTCCCAACTTCTACTTCTAAATGGACCGCGTGAATCTTAGAACAAACTGGTAATGCCAACTGATAAACCACTGCTCCAACTTTCCTAGTAACTTGGTATGGGCCAAAGTAACAAGCACCCAGCTTGCGGTTTAGCCTGTTTTCTACTGAATGTTGCATGTATGGGTGCAGCTTTAGAAAGACTCAATCACCTTCAGTAAAAGATCTTTCAGTTACTGTTTTTATCTGCATATATTTTCATCCTAGCACTTGCTTGTGACAGGTTTTCCTTTAATTGTCGGTTGAGTTTGTACCTTTGCTGTAGTAGTTCTTCCACCCCTGCCGCATTAGATTGTTGGTAAGGACCCAGTGCCAATTGTGGTGGTTTGATCCCATATAGAGCTTCAAAAGGTGTCATTCTAATGGAAGGATGATAGGTGGTGTTGTATCACCATTCAGCCAGTGATAGCCATTTTCTCCATTGCTTAGGCTGCTGGTACTTCATGCATCTGAGGTACATTTCAAGGTATTGGTTGAGCCTTTTTGTCTGCCCATCTGATTGGGGATGATAGGCAGTGCTAAGGTGACGTTGTGTACCCAGTAGCCTAAACAAATCCTGCCAAAATCTGCTCGTGAATACTTTATCTCTATCAGAGATAATGCTTTGGGGTAAACCATGTAGTTTAAAAATCGAATCCAGGAAGGTCTTGGCCACTGTTACTGTTGTAAAAGGGTGTGAAAGGGCTAGAAAATGGCCATACTAGCACCTGCTTGTGAGCTTGATGACCGTATTAATCGAACTACCATTAATAGCTATATGATAATTGATCTCTCAACTCATCACCGTATATAACTAACGAAGAGAAAAGTAAAATTAGCATTCTCAATATACATGCAACGTGATAGTTAACAATGCATTTATGTCCTTTCGTTGTTTATTCTTAAATTATTCCTAAAATACAAGTATCAAATATAATTAGGAGCATGTTTGGGAGTGATTAAAATCCAATTAAAATTGAAAATATAGCCGTTATTAGGTTCCACTCGTCTAATAAAAGTCAACAATAACGGCTAGTTCACTACAACAAAAATACCCTTTTACAACACTTAAAAGGCAACATTTGTTGATAAATGTTGCTAAAAGGGTCTTTTGGAAACATTTTAGTAAGTGAGTGTTGCCATTGGTACTAAGAAATGCGTTTTGGCAACGTTTTATAGAAAAATGTTGCGATAGACCCCTTTTTGCAACGTTTATTGAGTGTTGCAAAAGACTTTTCTTTTGCAACGTTTAGCAAATGTTGCGAAATGTCTCACCTTTCGCAACGTTTGACAAACGTTACGAAAGGCTCCTTTCGCAACGTTTGTCAAACGTTGCAAAAAAGTTCACTTTTTGCAACGTTTGTTAAGTGTTACGAATTTTTTTTTTTTT